TTTTAATAACTTGGTTTTTATTGTTGATTTGTTAAGTTCAGGGTCGGGGATTTGTTGTTTTTATGCTTCTGCCTTTAATCGTTTTGCTAAAGGGGAGAAAACAATTACATGCGCACGTCCTGACATTTGATAGGAAATTAGTGAATTGTAAAGGATTACTGTGTAAAGCTATCCTTGAGGTTTCGCTTAATTAAGAAAAGAAAAGAGGAGAGAAAAATTCATCAAATTTTGGATGTCACAAATGGCACCTATGAGGTTAACAGTGTCTTGCATCATTTCACGTCATTACCGGAGCGGAAGAAATTTGTTTACTCAAATTAACTGTTTAAATTTAGACCCCGTAACTTCTATTTGTATTACAAAGTTCCTGAACTTCTCATTATCTGTTTCTATATTTACACATGTGTTACTAGTAGCTAGATGAAAAGTTTGGGGCTGTTTGTTACATTTGGTTTAGTTGAGGGATATGTCTGTTAACTATTTGATGACATTAGCAAATACTGTGAAGTCAAATAAATGGTCGGGCAAAATGCAAGACAGATAGTTTTTGTAATTTTCAGAGTTGGTTTTTCTAGTTTTGTCTAGCCTTAATTAGGCGTAATTCTTGAAACCATCCGAAGTTCGAATTTTGAAGTGCACTTTTCTCAGACTTCAACATATACATTTGTGTCAAATTTTTCTGTTTTATCGCATCTTTTGTACATGTTGCATAAACTATTTTCTGTTAATTTCTTATCGGCATTTATGAATGTACGGTAATAAAAAATGTATAATACAGGTATGCCCGAGCTTGTGGCCTTTTACCAATTGTTGATGAAGAAAAAGCACAAAAGGCACTCGAGACAGTTTACAACTTCAATGTGTTGAAGGTGAAAAACGGGAGGATGGGGGCAGCTAACGGGATGCTTCCAAATGGAGAACCCGACATGTGTACTATGCAGTCGAGGGAAATATGGAGTGGGGTCACATATGCTGTTGCAGCCGCCATGATTCACGAGAATATGATCGACATAGCCTTTAAAACAGCTGTTGGCGTATACGAAGTAGCTTGGTCTGAAGAAGGTCATGGGTGAGTTGAACTTTTTCATCACTTGCTTTGTTTGTTCTCTTGTTTGTTCGTTTTTTTCTCTCCCTTCGTCAGTCATTTCTATGTAGACTTCGCAAAATTATCATAATAAGTATGTTTCTGAAAAACATGAACATTACTTAAGGATTTTCAATAATACAAAGAACCCTGGAGGTTTGTCCTAATTACGAAAGACCTACTCAACTTTTCAAAAACAAGTACTCCCATGTTTGATTTAGTGCTAAACAATATGGGGCTATGTGTCATATTTTACTATGAACCAGAAAAAAGGTACTTTGAAAAGTTTTTTGGGCTTATAAAGGTAATGCCAATGAATAAAATAAAAGGATCTTCTCTCTTCATATCCAAATAATAGAAGAAAACAGAAAATATTATTTCGAAAACCGGAACCCCTTACGAGCTTTTTAAAGAAATGTATACGCTGAGTAATGTATGCATTAACCTTTCCTGTTCCGCCTCGTTATTTCACAGATATGCTTTCCAGACCCCTGAGGGTTGGGACTTTGAAGGGCGTTATCGGTCTCTCGGTTACATGCGTCCTCTGGCAATTTGGGCTATGCAGTGGGCACTCACACAGCATAATAACTTACCAAAACAAGAAACAAAGCCTGTGATTAAGGAAGAATCTGTTCTTAGAGAGCATCACGGTTTTCTGCGAGTGGCTCGTCTGCTAAAGCTGTCGGACGAGGCTGATTCGAGGAGTCTTTTACAGGTTATATTTGACCGCACATGTAAAAGGATGCTGGGATGAAAAGAGAGATGCCAGATGTGGAACAACATTATGGGTTCGGACTTTGATTTATTCTTTCTCAATTATTATTTATATATATATGTGCAAGTGTGTAATAGACAGAAGTAGATGCTTCTGCATGTATATTTGTAATCAGGGCTTTCCTGTTAAATTCAAGGAAGAGATATCTTTCTATTTTATTTGTAAGCTGTCAAGAAATTCTCCTTTTTTCTTTCTTTTTTCTTTTTTTTTTTTTT